CCAGACGAAAAGGAAGAAGCCTTTGGGGGAGGTTCTAATCCCAGGAGGCAAAAAGCTGAGGAAAAGGGTGCCTGTGGGGCCTACAAAGGTGAGCCACCAGGCGGCCCTCCTTATGATGATCCTTCTGGGCAGCCACTTGATCCCGCAGCCACCGCCTCTGGCGCCTGCATCCCTCTAACAGCACGAGCTCTCCTGCTGCAGTCGGATGCCCGAGCACTGTGCTCTGCGCCAGCAGGCCAGCGGGCGGTTCTCACAGCTGCCCAGAGCGGCCGTGCTGCCATGGTCCCCAGGGAGGGCAATTTGTACCCAGTCAGAGAAGGACCCAGGCAGCCAGAATTCAACCTGGCCATTGGTCTCTGGCTGTCACTGGGAGCACAGGGGGGGGGGGGTCTTGGGAGCTCTTCCACCCGGCTGGGCTCAGGGTGACGCAGGACACTAGCTGAACACGTTCTCTGGCCCTTCTCGGCCACAGCTGCCTGAAGCATGGACGCCAACACCTGCTTGGATCTGGGAGCAGGAAGAAGGGGTGAGGAGGAAAGGGGAACTCGCAATCGGGGGTGTCACTGGAGTGTTCTGATCCCCTGCAGTGTTTTGATCAAAATATCTATGAGAGGAAAAGGAGAGTAAGGGACAAAAGCTCTAAAAATAAACTTAGCCATAAACCCAGTTGTGCATTAATTACTCTAAAGCCATTATGGCTTGAAAACCCCATAACTTTAATGGAGGCTATTATAAGCATAGTGGCAAAATTGTGGAGCTAATTACCAGGCAGTTATTAGTAGAACAGAGAGCACCCCAGCTGTGGAGAAAGTATCTGGCCAGCAGGGGGCAGGTTCGTGGGAACCGGTGTTTCCATATGGGTAGGGGGCCTGGGGCAGGGTGGCCCAGGTCGGCCACCTCCCACATCCTGAAGCTTCTGCCTGGGCGTGGAGAAAACGTGGCGGTTGCCTGTGATCCCAAGCTGAATCCATCAGAGACTCGGACAGGAGAGGCAGAAGAGTCCACCCTGAGAGGAGGGGCCTGGCCGCAGGGAGGGCCGTGGCGGTGTGACAAACCACGCCAGGGCTGCAGCGCGCTCGCCACCGGCCGGGGCCGGGGCCGGGGCCGGGGCCGGGGTCCTCATAGCTTCCAGCGGACCCAGATTGAACTGCGCTGTGGGCACAGTGGGTGACGCCCCGGGGGATGGTCACTGGGGAGCGGCGGGCGCAGGGCTGCGCCACGCCCTCATGGGGCTGGGTTCCCACTGCTCACGCTCCTTGACCTCCTACCTCAGCTTTAAAGCATGGAAGGTGCTGGAAGGGTCTAAATGATTTTCAGTTTTGCCGTTTTGGCAACTCGAAGCTAAGGCAGCTGGGGCTCTGAGAGGATGCAGCAGCGAGGCGAGTGTGGTCCGGGTGGGCGTCCAGGCCAGTGTGGGACCCGAGGGCCAGTGGAAAGCTCCCCACAGAACGTTTTGTGATGAGAGAGCCACAGCCCGCAAATCGGCATGTCGGGGAAAGCCCTCGCAGGGCACCCCTCTGAGGCCCAGGTGTCCTGGGCCGAGCACGAGAGCGAGGGCTGTCCAGGATGGAAAGGCGGCGGGCGG